TCAGGGGGGGGGTGTAATTTTCTTCCCCGCCGGTACCACTAAAATCTTACAGACTAAGTCCACAAAAATGTACTTACCTATTGTAATCATATGTTCCAGGAGTTGGAGTTTGGCCCCCTGACCCGGAGATTGGCGATTCTAGTCTCGGCAGGGAGGCCAAGTATGCACTCCAGGCGAGTCCCATCCAAGTTGAAACTGCTGTTTATTACCCACTGACAACCGTCACAACATCCTATTGTACAATCCGACAGTTATTAGCATAAAGCCAATGAACACGAATGTGTTATTTTTCGGGTTTGACTGTGCCATGCTATCTCGCACGACCACTAATGAAACGACCGAATCTTAGCAGTGCATCCTAACAAATTATCTTCATTAGCCGTCTAGACACCAGACCTTACGGACACGGGTTTATTTATTGAATGCACTTCGTGTTGGAAAACGTAAGTTAAGTGTATAAAAAAAGACGAAGAGTCATGTGAAATGCAACATGAACAACACTTGAAGTGATCACTCGCCAATTTGCAACCCCGTTTCACTGTGTGAAAAACCACATTATCTTCATCAATCCTGCGCGATTTCAACACTGGATATGCCGATAACCCATAGCTGGCTTATGCCCGGGTTACTTTCATATCAGGGTAAAATTTTAATCATCAGAGATACAGGTTGTTATCAACATGCAACTCTAGTGTACTCGTGGAAGTGAGTGGAATGGGGCATATTCGTTTATACACGGGAAAATGCGAAGCAGCAAAACTGAACGGTCTTACTGTTCCAGTTGTTCTCGGATCAATCGCAGAGGATCGTCCACCCCCGTTGGTCCACTTTGGGACACTCCACCTGAAGGCCGGGCAACGCACTCTTTTTCCCCCATGGTCATATAGCGCAAACGTAATTGCTCTAGTTCCGCCTCCCTGCGAGCCAAACTTTGCCGAGCAACCACTTCAGCTTCTTGCTTAAGGCGAGCCACCTCGTGCAATGTACGTGTCCATAACTGACGGTAACGTTGTCGACCGCGCTGAGCTTCGTCCAGACGACGCTCAGTATCCACAAGTGTTCCTCGAACGGAAGCCAAGTCAGCCAAGGCTTTGGCCAACTCCATTTGCGGGCTATGGGCTGTGTTCGCAGTGACATAGGTCTCTTGTGCAGTCGCTGGACGTCCATCCAGAGCCTTGCGAATCTCCGCTTGAGTTAACTGGCTGCGTATATTGGTCAATTCGTGCTCAAGGGCTGCGTATTTAGCCTTCCACTCGTCTGTCTACAAACACACGTCGAAAAGAAGTCTTAATGAACATCAAACAAGTAAACCGGAAATATGATAGTACTATTATCGCTATATGTTTGGAAAACGCTCTATTAATCTGAATTCTCATGCGTATGTGGCTTAGTTATTTGATTCCACATCGAAATTTTCTGTGTTCAATTTAAAAATTATCCGTACGATTGTGATTTTAAAAATTCATGTAATATTCACAATGAAATGCTATTTGTACTCGAATACGGTTTCTTTTATCAACTATTCTTGTTTGCGGCTGGTCATTTATTCAGCTGTTTCTTGATAGTGCATGGCAAGGTTCTGGTTAGATCTTATCTATAAGCGAAGACGTAAAGGAAGATATGTATACAGAGAGCACGTAACATTGCTAACCAATCTTACAGTCTATTTATTGATGTAGATCAATGGTATTCGAAGCTTCAAGGAATATAGCTAGTGCAATTTTGATGGGATGAATAAGAATATTTCTCGTGTTCTGTCCGGTATGAGTTTGTATCTGCGTGCCGGGGGAGAAAGGGGGGACGTAATTTTTTTTATCCCAAGTACAAGTATATTTGCAGAAAGAGAAAAGATCAGTAACGTATACCTGCATCTTCCAGTACTCAGTCTGTTTCACCTCCAACTTCAGCTTGCTGTCCATATCCCGTAGTTGTATTCGTGTCAACTGCTCTATTTCCTTTTTGCGCAGTTCCGCTTCGTGCACTGTTTGTTGACGAAGTTGGATCAGCTCAGTTTCTTTGGCGGCAATCTGATGTTCCCGTTCGCTCAGTTCGGTTAGAGTTGTTCGTAGTTTCTCTTCAAGTTGCTGATATTCAGAAACCTGTAAGGAGAAGCGTTTGCGACATGGAAACTGACTAGATGATTTTGTATGAAGAAAGTTAAATACCAAAGATCACTTTTAGCAGTGGCAAACAGTTCCTATCCGCTTCGAAGAATGAGTTGAGATTCATCGTTCACAAGGTGTCCCAGGGTTGGCGAACAGACCGAATGCTCAGGATTTTGTGACCATTCCTTAGCGATACTCTATTCACCGTCGATCACCGTGGTACTATCTCATGACTAAGATTACCGATATGAATCAAACTTTGTGAATAAAAACCAGGTCTTCGCTTGTGAGTTGACAAAAGAGTGGTCAGTTGTCGTATGAGTGCTTAATCAGTACGAAGCATTTAGTTCATAAACATGGAAGGCACAAGTGGTGATTGATTGCGATACTGATCGAATGGTGAGCAAACGTATATATTACTTCAGAATAATTTTGGGATATGGATGTGGCAAATACGACCACTGTCGGCACAGTTATCATTATACGGTGAACAATAAACACCCAAGCATGACTGAGGAAGCGTTCTGATAAGCTGATTTTACCGCCCAGGCCACTTCGCAAACTCCCCCTAATGACACGTTCGTAACATCTGCTTCGGAGCTCCGACTTACTACCGCTTGTGACGTGAGTATTTTCAATAAAGCTCAAGAAGGAAAAGCCAATGTCTACGACTGTGTCAGAGTGGATGAGTCACTGACAGCTAGCTTCCTTACTGAAATAGGAAAGACCGAATTCCAGAAACCACCAGTAATGTGTCGAATGAACTGCCACCGGAATTCCTGGGAAAAACGGTTACCAGATCCATGGGGTGATCAGGATTTGTTGGGTGAAGCCGCGTTCGTATGATCCGATCGATGAGATTCTGGCTCTAAATAAACTGCGGACTGGAAGAATGGCTAGGCTGCCTTACCCGTAAGACTATTCTTCTGAAAGCTCGGGATGAGGCGGTCGAGTAATCCAACTTACATTACTAGCAAAACAAGCATGAATCGTATCTAAGCACCCCCATTTCGTTCGTTTCGATTTCTATGTTGGAAAGTATTGACACAGCTTATTTCAGCTTTGTGGCTAAATACACTATAAGACAGCAAAGAGAACTAACAGCATCCGAACACCAGCACAATGAAGTGGGTGTAAAAGGTACCTCCAAGATCCAAAGTGATGTAGACAACCAACCACAAATCAATAATCACAAAAGTAGGGTAATGTACACCCTCAAAAGACGAGGGCGATCGCAGAAGACGGTTCGGTAATATTTTTACTAGCAGAGAAGAAAGCGACGACTGTGATGAAAATCGACAGTTTAGGAATACATTCATACGTTTTTGGATAATTGGAATTGTCAAGAAATTAAAATATAGTATATAAATGTCTAATTCAGCGGTAACAATCTACTTGAACACAAATACGAAGGGCAACCAATTGTGCGACATCACGTGGCTTCAACAGTTGAGAATGTATCGTTGTACAGTGAAGGCATACTGAGAATGCATAACACGTTTCCCTATAGGTGACTTCGTAGTGGTAGCAAAAGTCTGTGCCGGTTCCGAGATTACGCCAGCCAGGGAGTCATGCGTTACACTTGCAGGACGAAAAATACGTGGCCAGTATTTTGCATTATAAAAACTCGCCGCGGTCCTTTCAGGAGTACTATGGCCGGAAGAACACGAACGGCTACTGGTTAACACATTTAGGATTAGTAAAGTTAGTTCTTGTACATATTATCTATTTCCTTTGATGTCTTCCACTGCTTTCCTGCGTCTCGGTATTGGTAAATTCTGGTGGTTGCCAGTGAGGTTAGTAATCTCTAGGTCACATAAATCGAAATAGGCTTTTGCGAATCTCAATGCTGAATACCCGTGGGGGAATTGTACCCAAAAGGGAAAGGTCAATCAGGGAAGAGGAAACGAATTGATTTTAACTAACTTTCTTCCGACAGATCAACTCCCGTTGACTGTCTCGTTTATGCCATTCTTCAGCTAATGTGGTCATCAGGCGTTGTTCACGTTCCTTTAAGCGTGCCGTAAATTTCGCTTCTTCAGCCGCACGCCACAACTCCAATTCCAGCGCGGTCCGATATTCGGCCGTGGCACGAACATCCGTCAGTCGACGAGTTGTTCTGGTCTCACTCGGTGATGATGAATTGGCTCGAGGATGCTAAGCGGAGGTGGCAAGAAATGAACTGGTAAAATTTTGTTTAACGAAGTAGTTGACTAAAATCGTCTCTGCATACACCAAGATTAAATAGATAGCATTATCGCCAATAACGTTGTCAAAATTTAGTAAATAGAGATGTAATTTTGCTTAAGGAGTACGGAGATGAAATCGAATTCATTATTAAACGGTGGGCGTTAACGACGTCATTGATGGAGTGGCTATGAAGAACCAGTTAGCATTCAACTTGACCAAAGAATTCTGCGGTATATAGGAAAACAACTATCCACACCGGTTTCCGGAACCGTAATGCATAAACAAGGATCGAAACGAGCGCATCTTGCTTAGGCTCAAAAACAATGCGAAAGAGGGCACAGATAGGAAACGTTTCAAAATCATCCAATCCAGACTTGCTTTTGGCGTCGCGAGTATATTTGTGACGTAACCAAGCTTTTTCACGTTGCATGTTTTCTGAATTGGACAAAGCTTCAGTATACGAGCGTTCAGTGCATGTTCGAAATCCGAGCTGGAACATTTTCGGATTGTCGTAGTTTATGGTCTGACCTTCGGCCATGGTGTAAAGAGCGATCGCTGAGTCTCATTCTAGTTTTGCCGGGGTTGCTTTGTCCGTCGGCAAATGTTTTTCTTTTCATTTATGTTCGGTTATTCTTTTCTTAAGTTCCCTAATGATCTGCCTAAGGTATTCTGCGGGGCATCCTTTACAACTGATTTTTTTAATGCAGTTATTTTGATCTTGCAAATCGACCGGATCTTTGGCTTTCATGAGATGGCGTTTCAGAATGTTGTGAACCTGAAATAATGTGTGTTTGTCGAAATCGCCGAGAATCTTTCTGATTGCATCTGAAGTGCCTGATCTATATGGAATGCCAATAGAGGCTACACGGTCCTTTTCGTCTTTGGGTTGCATCATGGGTTTGCTTGCTTCCAGCTGGCATCCTACCAGGAGTGGTGGATAATTATTGTCTTTTAGTACTTTTTTGGGGCGTTTCCTTTCCATTTGGCTGTTATTGTCTTCATGTAACTCAGCCTGAGAGGAGATAAGTGTCCGTTTGACACCTTGCGCATGAGCTGATTCCAAACGTAGAAGTTTATCTGAATGTGTCGGTTTTCTGTGAATACTTGTGGTAAATTTGCGTGAGTCGCTCACCCTGAGGTGGCAGTCTAGAAAACTGATGACTCTGTTCACATCCGGAGCGATTTGGGAATAATATTATACATTATACACTCCTAACATCATTTGGTCCTGATATATTAAAAGTGATCACTAATCGGATTTCTCTCGGAAAAAAGCTTGCAAACTGGATCAGTCATCGTGCATTCAAACAACGTTGTTTACGGTATAATGTTATTCCCGAATCCCTCCGTATCATTCCTTCAGATTATTCTGTTCGCTCCCAAAGGGTTGTTTTGACAGCTTTACGCACATTCACGATTTTGCTGTAATCATACACTCACTAGATAAACACTCAACACATTTACCGGATTTTAAGGTTGGCCCTGATAAAGAGGAGAATGACTGAATTTGATCAAGATTGTCGTTGAATGAGCTTAGATCGGAGTAAGCTGAAATGGGTTCGCTCAGCACGACATCATTTGCGTATTTCAAAATTCGTGCAGCAGAAACACAAGGAATACCACAAATATGAGTGGAAAATAAGCATGGGGATAGCATAGCTCCTTGGAGAACCCCGGAGTTGTTGACCAAGGGTTTAGATGAAGACTTTCCAAGCTAATGGTTTGTATTCTTAGAAGCAAGATTTGATAACTACAGTGGTGAAACGAACAATAGTTAGGGAAGCAGGGGAGGGGGTGGGTTGGGAAATCAGGTCCATGGCAGTCTAACTGATTGAGTAAGATACTTTTGTGCACACAATATTGGGTTTGTATTCTATCAATAAAATAGTTGGATAGCCAAGCTAACAACAGAGCCCATCGATAGAACGAATGCCCGTGGCTTTAGCGACCGTTGCAACAAAAATGGCCACATTTGAGTGCCTCACAGAACTGCAGATTACAAAGATTTATTTTTAACAGTCTTAAATCGTCGTTAGTCTCAGCCTGGGTCTCCTTTGAAAATCAACAAGCGCGACGTTTAAATCAAGTGTACACTCCAAGAATCGCCCGGAAATCCGAGCATTAGCCAAGGCAAACAGCTTCAATTGATCCAGTAAATTCTGTGCCTCTCTAACTGAGGTAACTTCCGGCGTATTCACTCCTTCAAATTCGTCTTCTTTGCGACGCTTAGCTTGGTTCGAAAGGAGGCGATTTATTTTTCAAAAGGACGTTCATCAATGGACACTGAGTGAACTCTTCAAGCAGATCGCAGTAATCCTCTGGTGGCGGCATCACCAGCTGTTTCAATGTGGGTTCGAATCCAGCTTTTATCAAAGCGTCGATCAGTACGCGCGGATGCACAGACACCCAATTTTTCTTGACCAGATGCATGCCCGTGAAGATATTCATTTCGACTTGCATGCTAATTTACTCATCTTCAATCAAAGACAAAACATATTCCAGTAAATGTTTGCGAAACGAACATGTGAAAGACTAAATCACATCTTGATCCACTGGTTGCAACATTGAAGAACACTTTGGAGGCAGCCGTACTAATTTGAATACTGCGGCTTAGTTATGGCAAGGGGCGTTATCTATAAATAGTAAAAAGGAGCGCCTTGGAAAAATCATCTTGCGGTTAACATCAGACAGCTAACTGTGAAATAACGCAAAAGTCACCCACGGGTTCTTTAAAGAATTATGACTGCAGGGAAGGCTTTATTTATACCTCGGAGATATCGTGGAGTTTGAAATTTTCCAATGACCGACGGTGTTAAACTTTCTCCAGTTATGCTCCACAAAGCAGTGACGTGATTTTTTCTTTGAATTTCTGGGATCCAGAAACTGTTTTCCTTTGAGGCTTGATGTTCTTTCTGGGAGTTGCTTGTCTNNCACAAGGCTGTTTCATCTGCATTGAAAATATCACATTCAGTGTATCCGTGGATCAACTGAGGTGACCTCGCTCGATACTCGTCCACTGCATCAGGTGGTACCACCAAACTTTCCTCTTAAACCTATAAAGTAATGTGCATGAGTAGTTGCTTGTCTCTTACTTTGCAGGATTGAAAAACACATCTGTCTAACCAAGAATGAAACCAAATTTTTGAAGACTTGAAGTCATGATGATGCATTCTTTGCGCTAACTGAATGGTCTTCTTACAAATGATGCTCTACATCATGGGGAACTCACCGTGTTTTTCACTCATAGCAGTAAACCAAGCCAAGGTTGCCTCATTCACTGTAGTGAAATTTTTGTTAGTTTTCAGGTGACATCTTTCCTGAGATGGGATATAACACTCAAGAGCTTTTCCTGAAATACCAAGTGATTTGTCTATGGAACTCTGAGTTGCACTTGGTTGACTCAGCATTTCCACCACGTTGTGATCGATGGGTGATTGGACATTTCCAAGTCAAATGACAGTCTTTGATGGTTGGCATCGATGTCTTCCTGGCAAGGATTATCCAATCAGTGCAGTGTCATGTCCGTGTCACACTAGGTGAAACGCCATTGGCTGAGTGTGACATTGTAGGTTGGCTGGTCAATGGCCATCCCGAATATTGGTCAACGACCAAGTGAGTAGGTATCAGGAGCTGCGGCATATTGAGAGGTGCGACATTGCATGGTCAGAAACTACGCTGTTACGCATGCAGTTGGTTTGGGTTTCCCAAAAAGTGGGAAGATATTGGAAAATGCGACTTCTCACGGGTGACATAGCAGGCGATTGTTTGTAGATCTCAACCTAACGTAACACAAATCTACCGAAATTGTGTTCCTCTTTTTTGCTGATATTTTTTATAACCATACTATATAATTTACCCACTTGGTTAATCCCTAGCTCACAAATCGTATGCACCCAGGTGAGGTTACAGGTAGGACGTAGGCGGTTTTCCAACGTTTTAACACGAAATAACTGGACAGATGAAAGTCTCGATCAATTTATAAGTTCTCCCATCATGAGATCGGCTTTAGTTTTCACTCTCATCGTCAGAATGCACACAAAGTGATTATATTGTTTATCTTTATTAGTCGCTCCATGCACGACGAAATTCACTGTATAATCTAATCGAATCCGCCAATCATATCATCTAAAAAACAGTCAATTTCGAAATGCTTCCAACCGAGCCACAATCCTGGAGGTTAGTGCTTGCAATGAGGTGTTATTCACACTACTAATGAGACCCAACTAGATCGAAACAGCCTCCCGGGGCTTCCTAGCTTTTTAGTTTATGCTTTATTTGCTCTGTACGGGACGAAATTCACTAAATAGTTATTAAAAGATTTGATTTATGTGGATCGGAGCGTTCTGGGCGCATGAAAGTCAAATAAAACAATTTGGCTGATGCAAAACTTGTGATCTTGGACGGAAACCCCAGAGTGGAAAAATAAATAATGATAAATAAATGAATAATCTCCATTTATCCACTCTAGCTGATTTCGACTCTTATCTTGCCCGTTGTATAAACTGTCTGTCTATTTCGCGAAAAGGAACAGCGACCGATATACCTTCTCACAAAAAACCTCAAAGCTTGCTATGGCGTAGATCTATCTCAACCGGATTAATGCGCTTTGATTTATCTCAACGTTCCCACTTGATTAAGCCGCGAACGTCTGACTCGATCGATCAATTAAAAGCAAAGGTTAAGATTAAACTGTTGGCATTGAAATACCACTGTGTCTGTATGTATGCAAGTGATAACAAGCCAGCACACAAATAAAGGATTGCAAGCTGCTCTGCTCACGTGAACCACTACGAACAATATGATATTCACTAGTGTTGTAGAGTTGACGATGTACTTCTCAGGTGATTAGCCGTATGCTTACTGCAGAATACAATCAGTTTATATAACACAGGTGTTGATAATCTAACATAGTATCAATTCACTCTTCCGCTTAAGTGGTTACCAGGGCAATGCCAGACTGATGTAGACCTTTTCCTGACAATGCATGGGCTTTCGGCGCCTGATTGCTATGGCCTCTGCAAATCTCAGCGGCTGTCCATTCGAAGTTGTGTAAACAACCCGAAAAGAATTCCCGTGATCGGATTGGTGGCCAGTCTGCAGCAGATGGCGAGCAATTGATGATGCACGTGTTCTGTGCGGCTGGTTGTTTGAGTAGCCCTCAATCTGATCCGTTCGCATTCGACCCATGCTGGTATATGTTCTGCAACTCGGGTGTACAGCTGCCTCTCTGTTCTGCCCACGTAGGTGGCTCCGCACCCTCATTGAAGTTCATAGATAACGTGTAAAGCAGCTGTGCACCGAGTGGCACGCAAAGTAAGTGCCCAAGTATTCGAAAACAGTGCAACGTAATCACTTCGTTTGGGGAACGGTTACATAGAGTCAATACACGTTAACGAACTCTGTCATTATTAACATGATATTGCCACCAGCCTACAGCTAAGCCTCAAACATAATAAAGGTCGGATACTGAAAGTTTTCGAGGATCAACGTGACAGACAGGTTAGGTCTCGTCGAAGTGGAATTAAATAATTCAAGGAAAGGTCATCTAAGTGATGGATGTTTGCACCTCGCGTACCCTGATTGTATCAGACCTGTTAATGTTTAACATCTGTGTCGGTGTCCAACATCGTATTTTCTGTAGAACATGGACTTGACTTAAGCAAAATCGATTCGGTTATTTCGGATGAGGAGATCGGCGTTCATCGTTAACTGTGATTCCATGATCGTTTCAACACCACATACCGAATCGTAGCACAGCGTTTAGGTCGAACTTTACCTGGTCTTCAATTCCAGGAGTTGGGGGAGTTGATGTTTGTGTCAACTGGTCGGTTGGATGCAAGCCATGATCTTCCAATATTAGTCCGTAAGTAAGTTGCCCAATCGATTGCATACCCGGTGCTCCAGGGCTATGACGCATCAGTTCTGAGCATGATTTGGCCGATACAAAGTCACTAACACCCGAGAACCGTTGAACTGTGAACTTCCCGTCAGCGGCTGGGGGTGCGAAATAAGAGCAATGTGATTGGTCATAATGCAAACGTGGTGTAATCAGTATTTTCACGCTCATCTCAGTGGAAGAAAATAGAATGCAAGAATATAGATAAAAAATCCATTCCATACTACAGGGATCGATAAAAGATATTTGGAAACATTTCAAAAATTGACTATACGGATTTCTGTGTACAACCGTTTGTGAGCACTTAACTTGTCCACAGAGCCCGCCCGGATATATCTGAACACAAACCAATCATTCCGCCGGCAGAGATAAAACGCATCACTGTGAGCTAGAGCATTTACTCATTCGGGAATTTCGTATCAGTGAAAACTGAATAAATAATCAAATCTGTCAATGACAATAACCCATATCTCCATTTTTCTTTCAATAACCAGGAATTCAGCCAAGCATGTTCCGTGCTAAAAGTTAAATCCTTTCTTCTTACTTAATATGTAAGTTATTTTCGAGATTCGATCTGTTCAACTTTGATTTTTGAATTCTGAAAATCGTCCGGGTTAGCCCATCAAAGATTGACACAGGATCTTTCCTTAAATGAGAATCCCCTTAGAGAACATAATTCTATAACTGTGAAAATCTCGTTTCATGCTGATGAAACAGACGCCATTATTTTGAATTATGGTTCCAAGTGTTTAAGTCACACTGTGAAATTCTTCCAAAAAGATTGAATGCCAAACTGGATTTAACATATGTAGACCCATTTTAGAACCATGAAATTGTTCGAAATCGACCTGAGAATAGGGGCGGAGTACGACACCGTGATTGGAGTTATATACTAGATAAATTTACGCAAAATGTTTTTGTATGATAGATGTATTCGAATTGAAGAGAGTGGGTGGGAGGCGGATACACTAAACCACAAAAGGATATAAGAGGAACAGTGAATGTAACCATGGCCTCAGAGCTACTCACTATCTCTTGTGGAGAAGGTCACAAACCGCTAAAATATAAAGTTGAATATGATACATAATAATCAGCTGACCTTCGTGTAGACCACAGTTGAATATTGCGGCGAGTTGAATGGTGGCTCGACCAAGGATTTCATCCATCCCTTTCGACCCGTGACTGCGATCGAACAACTCAACAACTAATGGTGCGGCCATTAACCGTTCACGAAGCTGTACAGATCACAGAAGAACAAATTGTGACAGAAAAGGTGAAACCATTTGTACAATCATAGGGTTTTTCATAAACAGTTTGCAAATTTCGTAACGAGGAGCGTGAGGTATTTCCCTCGAAAACAAACTTTCCTACTTGCCCTCTAGGTCTTCCCTCAATTCCTAATTGTGATCGAACCACAACAACAAGCATGTTTGGGAAAATAAAAAACTACAGCACCGATGTTGCAGACATTTAGTGCGAGATTAACGAACACCTCGTTATTGATCGACAACCAAACGGGCTTAGCGGCGGACACTAGTTCACTCTTTGATTCATGTATTCTCCCCCTGTGATACAGTTTTATAGTGAGTGTCAAGAATTCTCCTCACCAGGTTCAAGTCGGGGTAGTAGGCATTCCCACTGTTCTGTTCAGATGTGATTTATGAACTGCGGCATTATTCAGGAGGAACAGTATTTTCGCTTGAACATTCAAAGTCATTAACGAGAGAAGACAGCGCTCTCCAGTGTGTAGAAGAACGCATCGCAATCTTTAAGAGTGAGGTGGCTTCGATCGAGAGTCAAAATGAGCTTCGTGCTTCATGCTTGAGCTTAATTCAAAATGTGCGCAGTGAAATATAAAGAAACATTGTACCCAACTGCACCTTTTGCATTCTAGTCGTTTTTTAATGTCCGTCTCAAAATGATGTATATATACTACTTATAATGATATATATATATATATTTCACATTGGGAATCCGTCGTGTATATAGCGAATGAAGAGTGAACTGAAAAGCTCGGAAGNCAAACTGGGAATGGAACTCGGGACCTCGTGGGCAGAACGCAAACTTGCTAACCACTCGGCCACCGGGCAGCTGATCATACTGTTTTTCATTTTCCATTTACACGACATATCACAGCTCATCTTTCCGAGCTTGTTGCGGGCCACAGGCCCTGCTCATCTCAATACTAGCCTCCAGGGTGATGACTCGGTTGGAAACAACCACAACCTGACTACTTATTTCATGTGAGTAATGGAGGATTTGATTCAATTTCGAATGGGAATTTGTTGTGTATATAGCAAATGAAGCGTGAACTGAAAAGCAAGGTAGC